CACGCCATCGCCCCAGTCCTAGGCCTTCAGCTGGGTTTTATAAAGCCTTTTCGCTTTAGGCCTCCGCTGCCATGTGCAAAAAAAAAAAAAAAAAGTTTCCATCAATCCGTCAATTTCAACTTCTCGTGGAAAAAAAAAGATCTTGCAAAGTTGGAATTGATTTATTGAACTTTTAGTCCCACCCAGTCTGCCGTAACCACTGCAGCCACACCCACCCAATGGGCCACACCCACCCAGCACCCAACAATACATAAGTGGGTTTTGGGTTGCAGTTTGGGCACTCGGTCTCTAAAAGGTTCGCCATCACTGGGCTATAGCAATGATGAAGAGGGCTGTTAAAAGCCCACAGACTGTGAGTCTAAAAATTCTGATCTAAATTCACATGGTTACATCACAGAAGTTTTATAACTAGCTTATTGCAGGGAATTTCGATTATATTGGCCACAGAGAAATTTCCATAAAAGAGGAATGGCCCCAAATCCAATTTTTGCTATGAGCCAGAGGTCCTATACTTGTAGTTGTTTTTGCCTGTTTTCTCTACACCCATAAAAAGAAACAAAAGAAGCATATCCAAAGTCCTATATAGGCCAAAGACATCCTAAATTATACAGTTAGTCTTTAACTTACAATCATAACGGGATCAGAATTTTGGTCGTAAGTCACGATGATTTTAAGCTGAGGCACCTACATGACCAGATCCAATTTTATCATGATTTTTATGGCAATCCTTAAATGAATCACATGGTCATAGGTCTGAATCCATTCTTCTGAATGGACTTTTTTTTGCCATAAATTGCCAAAAACAACGTTGCAAATTGCAGTCTTGTGACAGTAGGACACTGCAACCAGTCATAAATGTGATCTAGTTGTCAAGTGCCTGAAATGCAGTGTGACTGGAGGGCCACACAACATTTTAAGACAGTAGAAGTGCTTCATAAGCTGTGAAAGGAGAGGCCCTCCTTGGGGGAGATGAGAGGTCTAGAAATGCAAAATATAAATAAACAAATAAACGAACAAACCTCATAATTCTGAAAGGTTGTTAAACAACACGTGACCAGTTGTAAGTCAAGGACTACCTGTACTATGTTTTTACTGACTGCTGTTCCTCACTGATGCTCATCCTCTCACTAACGTCTGATAATGAACAACTATATAAAAGCAATGATGTATGCTTATTCTTCCAGGAAGAAAAGTGGAATAAGCCTGCAGGTTTATTCTTCCTTCCAGATCACTGTCAGGACACCTGGCATGGTGACCCAAATCTGGGCAATCAGGAGCATCTTTCTTGCACCTTAGCATTGGTGGTCAGTTATTATACCCTTGGTTACAACCATCTCTTCTCAGAAATCATCTTGTCATATCCAAATTGGAGGCAAAGAAAAATGCAGAAATGAAAAGCCGCTATGAAGAAATCAAGCATCATAAAGATGATTAACTCAGTGATGCATGAAAATGGGATATAGATCCTATAATGCTTTATCAAAAAGGATTCCAAGCAACTGGCTTTGCTGTATGGAAGCTGCACCAACTCACAATTCAGAAAAACTTCAGCACTATCTGGGTATTCTGTGCATTCTTGCAGTTACTGCTTAGATGACAACCTGCCTGGAGACAAAGTCCAACATTGGAAGTTTTTAAGAACAGATTGGACGACCATTTGTCTGAAATGACACAGGGTTTCCTGCCTAAGCAGAGGGTTGGACTAGAAGACCTCCATGGTCCCTTCCAACTCTGTTATTCTAATTCTAATACCCCAGAAATGGGTCTAGTAGCCCTCTGTTGAGAAAACATGAACTCCTAGGATTGTCCCAAAGGTGCTTTTCAAAAGGCAACTGGACTTTCTTGGCTCTTTCCTTGAAAACGTTTCGCTTCTCATCCAAGAAGCTTCTTCAGTTCTGACTGAGTGGTGGGGAATAGAAGGATTTATATTCTTTACAGTCATTTGGTCGTTAGCACTCTGAAGGTCAGTTGTTAGCTCTCTCTGGCTGACCTTCAAAGTGCTAAACATCAAATGACTGCAAAGAATATAAACCCTTCTATTCTCCATCATTCAGTCAGATCTGAAGAAGCTTCTTGGATGAAAAGCCAAACGTTTTCAAGAAAAGAGCCAACAAAGTCCAGTTGCCTTCTGAAAAGCATCTTTGGGGCAACCATGAGCTGAATGATTGATGAACAACTCCTAGGTTCATTTCTTTCCTTTTCAAGATAAACATTGGAATGCCTGGATTAGCTGAAAGACACAAATGGACACATTCTTAGGGGCAATGGGCATATTTAGCATTTTGAGAGCATTCTATGAGCCCAGTCACAGAATAATTACCATGAGGGTCTTGTACAGTGATAAGAAAGAAAAAAGAAAAGAAAAAAGACTGTCTTTCTTTTAAAAAAAAAATACCAGAAGACAAACTGGAGATATAACTTTTCAACATTCACTCTAGTTCTTCAAGATATCTTTTTCACATCCTAATTTACTTTTAGACTTTTCCTGAGCAGATAGGAAGACTTCTAAATAAATTACTTTTATTTTCTATACCAATTACAGTTGGTATACTTGCAACATGTCAGCTTCCTATTAAAAATTGATGGAATTGGGTATGTCTAGTTTAATGAAGAGAAGGACGAGGGGGGACATGATAACAGTGTTCCAATATCTCAGGGGCTGCCACAAAGAAGAGGGAGTCAAACTATTCTCCAAAGTGCCTGAAGGCAGGACAAGAAGCAATGGATGGAAACTAATCAAGGAGAGAAGCAACCTAGAACTAAGAAGAAATTTTCTGACAGTTAGAACAATTAATCAGTGAAACAACCTGCCTCCAGAAGTTGTGAATGCTCCAATACTGGAAGTTTTTAAGAGGAGACTGGGCAGCCATTTGTCTGAAATGGTATAGGCTTTCCTGCGCGAGCAGGGGGTTGGACTAGGTGACCTCTAAGGTCCTTTTCAACTTTACTATTATATATATTGTATTAAATCATAAGAGAAATGTATTTTAAAAATCAGGTGGGAATGAGAATCAGCAAAGGGAGAAGTCACTCTAGTCTTCTCTATCTTTGCCCAAATATTAACTAGCCTATCACACTTACAGTTTCAAATCAGTGTAGCTGAAAAGTAGGGACATTCTTTGCTGTGATGGGTTCACTTCCTTCATGGATGCCCAGAAAGTGCAACTTCTCAAGGAAAGCCCTTCATATAAGGGTAACATTTCCAAAGGCAGAGAAAAACTGTAACACCAAAAACTGTTTTGCTGGTTTTGCAATGCAAGGCCAAGATTCTGCCGTTTCCTTGTGGGTGTCCTTGGAAGTAGGTAGCAGAATGCTGAGAATTCTGCAAAAAAACAAAGCTCCACAAAGCAGTTCTTTGATTAAATCACAGCAAGCCTCATTGATCCTTATGTGCACAAGGCTCTTGTTAAATAAGTGGGGAGGGAAACATCGCAGGACTTTGTTTGGCTGCATTGTTGCCAGATAAGGCATCCAGCTGCCTGCCTTTCCACATCAAACCTATCAGATAATTCCTGGTAATTCTCCCAGGTCACTTGGCAAGAGGCATAGGCAGAATTCAGACAAGCAGGCAGATGGTCCTTTGCTCCTTCCCCCCTTCTGCTGTACAACCAATACTAGCTACTGGCCTTGGGGAGCATCCCTAAAATCAAGCAAGCTGCCCTGACAGTACAATCAGAGCCCCACCGTCTTTTCATGCATAAAAAAGGGGCATTATTTCTTTACCTGTTTTCATCTCATGGTGGGATGCATGTGAATTATGGGTGAGTCAGGACAGCAAGTTTCTAGTAGTATCTCTCTTGGCCTCCTCATGGTCACTGGAGGCCTTTTCCAACTTGCAGATTATGGTACAAACATGCTGTGGTAACACTGATGGAGGAAATGACCAGACTGAGTCTGAGGGAAATATCAAGCACATCTTCAGTCTCAAATGTTTTTGCGCTCACAAGAAACCTCAGCCTAGCTCACCTTAACTCTTACCTACACCAATTTGCTTTGATCATTAGTAGTTCAGTTTCCTGGAGAGAGAGTTAGCACGCAACAAATTTGTAGCTATTTGAACCACCCTGCTTCCTGATTTATTGCGCCTGACAATTTCTTTTTTCAATTGTATATTTGTGATATGCCTTTTAAGCTATGAGGTAGTCCAGCCTGGAAATACTAGCTCTAACTTTATTGTAAGGTTACCAAATCTTGCAAGTCTGAAAGTACATCTTTCTCCTCTTAGCTTTACAGCCCAAGAATTCTGATGTGTGTGTATGTGTGTGTGTCCCTCTGAGATGTTTGCCATGGTCCCATTCCTTCTGCGGGTTCAGATGCAACTTGCCTGACAGAAGCTCTATCCCTTGTCTCCCAAGGTCATTCTCAAATACTATAACAACGGGTGAGACAGGCATAAGTCATTTGGGGCTGTCCTGATGTTAAAGTAGCATTTCACCCCTTATTTTGACCCTGTCAAAGGCCTGCTTCAAGGTGCATAAAATCTGCTATGCTTCATCAGCTATTATGCTAGAAGAGATCTTAGTAATCAGTGAAACAGCTTGCATCCAGAGGTTGTGGGTGCTCCATCACTGGAGGTTTAAAGAAGAGATTGGACAACCATTTGTCCAGAATGGTATTGGGTTTCCTGCTTGAGCAGGGGATTGGACTAAAAGACCTCCAAGCTCCCTTCCAACTCTGTTATTCTGTTATTAGTAATCAAAAATGGGCAGGACCAGAATCACTTACTGGCTGTTTTAGGCTGATATTGGCCTGCCCCCTCCTCTTCAGTCCCTGATTAACCTTCCATAACCCCATTCTACTGTGGCCATTCTGTTCAATATTGCACTGTGTGGTTAGACTGTTCAATGATATTATGCCCTTTAGCACTATTGTTGCTACTGATTTAGCACAAGGCTGAAATAATAAAACAGTAGAATGAAGCAGCCTTAAATCAATGCAATAGAATGTCCTACTGTACACTAAAAAATTAGCTGCAAATTATAAACATTCTACTTAAAGAATGAAATCATGAATGTTTATTCTTGTGATGCTCTACAGACACAAAAGCCCAGTTGAGAAATAATCCAAGACTGGTTTGTTCTAATTTAAAACTTAGCAAGAATATCCAAGGAAGTCAAAGCAGCATATAGAAATGGTAATTTGCTAATTGCCATAAAGAGGCCACCAAGCCACAGTGTTTTTCCCCATTGGCTGGGAAATTCTGGGATTGAAGTCCACATGTCTTACGGTTGCCAAGTTTGAAAAATATCCTTATACTCCTTATAACCCTTATTATCAGTTTGACTAACTGGCTCAGCCATGCCACTGTATTTCAAGTAGGCACCTTGATTTCCTTTGCTCTTCTTAATATTTTTTTTTCACTTTTAATATTCTGTAAGGCAAGAAAGAAACAAGAAGACAAAATAATGTCTCAGAAAAATGGCTCTCAACATTGTCATAGTTTATTATATCACTAAATTTATCAAAAGAGGAGTTAATATCACTTTATGTAACTTAAATAAGAAAAATTATATGAGCTTTCCAAATTGATTGAAATGTGATTTTTCCCTCTGAAAAGCCAGTATTGGAATTTTAGTGTTAACTCTCCCATAAGAGTAATTCACCATACATAAACATACCAATTGTTCAATATAACCTGTCTACAAATTTCCATTTCTGAGCAATTATTGATTAGGTAGCCAAGTGTAAGAATTCAATGAGCTCTTTTTTGTTCAATTTATTGTTGTGTTCCTCAAAAAATATGTAATAAGCTCCATTTAGGAATACATTCTAGTTTTTGTTTAGTTATTCTAACTTTTTAAATATCGTCTTTCTCTTCTTAATTTACATGGAGGAAATTAAGGTTCCAGATCAGCTAACCTTGCCTGTCTTGCAGCCTGCAGGGACAGTCTCTTCGGCCAATTCTCAAGGTGCTACTAGATTCAGTTGGTCAAGTCTTCAGCTTCTGAATCTAAAGATTGAGAATAGCGAGTCTAATAGAAACAATTAGCAGTAGACAAACAGTACAGAACCAGCTCTCCTGGATTTGATAGCTTATTTGTTTTAAAGTTCTATATTTGTCTTTAATTAAACAAACCACCCACCCTGTGCACAAGAACTCTTCCTCGTGGCAGCATGAAACTGGTTCCTCCCTATCTGAGCTGGTAGAAAAGAATGCCAGCAAATTCACTTTGCCTTGATTGCCAAGGGCGATTCTACTAATTAAGCTATGGCTAGTGTTATCCATAGAATTTCATGTGGGACAAGTTTAAAGAAAGTGAATTCACCAAGGCTTTGTTTACCCTCTCACCAAATGTTACCTGTCAGCCATCAATAATTTTTCCTAGTGAGAGTTAGGAAGGAGGCAAGTTTTGACAGATGGCTAGGCCATTATTTTTTCCATCTTTCAAAATCTCTTTCCTGAATATCTGTCTGGTCCTGGCTTGCTTGGTCTCTCTCACTCTCTCTCTCTCACTCACTCACTCACTCACTCACTCACTTTCTCTGTTTCTAACTCTCTTTGTTAGCCACATTTAACATTTCCTGAGTGACAGGTTGCAAGGAGGGAGCACTCCCATCTGATGATCAGTCAGAATATTTTTGAACATGGGTCTAGCCAGGGCTTTTTTTGTCATAGAACGCCCAGAACAGAGTTCCGGCACCTTTTTTGGATGGAACCTTGTAGGGTAGGCAAGGCGGGTTTTATGATATGTGTGAGTTTGTTTGTTTGTTTGTTTTTTTACAAAAAAAGCACTGGGTCTAGCACTATTTGAGCCCTAAGTCTGTGTCCCAAAATGGCTGATAGGTCACAGTCACAAAGGAGCGGATTTCCTCCTGTTCACCTCATACTGATCTTCTTTACCTGGGTCCAGTCAGACAGGCTATTTTGGGGCACATGGTACAGATATGTACAAAAATAAATGCACATACATAGAAACACCAAAGAAGGAGAAATATCTGAAAAAGGACATGAAGAAATGAAAAAAAAAAAAACTAAGGAAGAGGGAGAAAAGGATGCCTAAAGGGCCTGTAGTGGAGAATCCTGGAAGCGGCAGACTTGGGAAAGGAGTGGAGGTTGTTTGCTGACAATAAGAAATTCACTTCAGAAGGAAAGAGAAGAAGAGAGGAAGAAGAGGGAAGTAGGGAAGAGAAGAAAGGGAGAAAAAAAGTAAAAAAGAAGGAATGTGGATACAGTGAAAGGGGAAATAGGCAAGCAACACCAAAAGTCATGTGTATGTATTTATTTCATTTTATCAAAAGTATCTTATATATGAATGTAAAAATAATGTATGTTAACATCTGATAAATATCACGGTATATGTATGGGGGAGAGTTTGGAAAAATAAAAAATAAAAAATTATTTTTAAAAAAAGAAATTCACCTCTCTTTTATGCCTCCCAGGACTATCAATTTAGTTCTATCATTGTTCTGAAAGCATGCTAAATCCTTGTTTCTAAGGGGTCTGACAAATATTTTGGAAAATACGAGTCTGATATTATATCAGACATGTTAAACTCGCGATGTCATGTGATGTCACGCAACGTATCGGGAGAGTTTTGCCATTGCTGGCAATGGGGTGGGCGCAGTTTCTTCATGACACGTCCGGCCCACGGGCCGGCAGTTTGACACCCCTGAATTATATGGACAGATGTATCTGCTGAAGTCTGAAGTCCAATCTTTTCTGCCATCCAGCACAAAATAACCATGGAAGATAATCCACAGTGGCTGAAGAAGATAAGACATACTTGCCTAAATATAGTCAATGTGAGATGGGGAGATTCCCCCCCTCCTCCTTCCATCCCTATCATCAAAGAAGAATCCTAGAACTTGTCCATGAAAAAAATTCTGTAGAGTGGAAATGGAACACAGTAGTTTAAAACTGGAACAGTTAAAAGATAAATTTAAATTGATTCCAGTATGGGTTGGAAGGGTAACACAATTATAATGTCATAAGGACATGCCATTAAAAATGGTCAAAGGGCATGTTGTACATCACTTAAAGGAATGAGAATGAACCCTACAATCAGCTAGGGGATCCAATCCACTTGGATTCCCTTAACTCTCTGGCCCAACCAATAGATTCAAGTAATACGATGGTGGCCAGGAATATCTCAATGCCAACACTCTAATTATGAAATTCCTTCCAATTAGAGTTGAAGAGATGCCTGCATTTTCAAGCAGGTGTAGGATAATAACTGTTCCAAGATGAACCTGCTTTTTAAACAGCATTATTTAAATGAACATTGTTTTAAAATTTTGTATTGTTATTGTCTTGTTCAAGAGTAGAACTTTTTAATTATTAATATTGCTCTTTTGGGTTCTACTCTAAGCCCTTCAGGTTTAAGTATGACTAATCATCATCAACAACAACAGCAGCAGCAGCAGCAGCAGCAAGCAACAACAACCTATATGTGTACATCCTTAACTCTCTGATCCTTTGCATCTGAAGTGTCCTTAAGGAAATCTAACTAATTCCTGGCTACTTAATGCTTTTCCCCTGAAGAAGTCACAATTCTTATTGAGGCTTTTCATCCCTTGCTCATCTGGATTTTGCAGAGTTTCTTTGTTTCCTCATGTATTTTCGCCCCTTCTCATTAATGCCGTCTGCAGTATTCAAGGAGGTGATACTTCAAACTGTCCCTTGGCTCCAACCCCCTGCAGCCTCTTCCTGTTCTGGGAAGCTGAAATATTAGAAGCCTGTTTAACCAAACATCAGAGGAGTTGGGTAGTTCTCCCAATGAACATAGGAGGAGGTAGGCAAAGAAAATAAGTACATATCAAGAAAAAAAAATGGCAGAATGAAAGCTGGAGGTTGTGCCTACAAGATTTAGTTAATAGAACCAAGACCACAAGATAAAACTTGTGTACTGTATATCTGCTTGATTATTTTCTTTATTTTGTCTGTTTTATGCAAATCTATCACAACCAATAATGAAACTTGAAAGTCTTGATTTCACTTTATTCATTCAATAGAGTAATTACCCAAGACTAGTGGTTGTTATCATTGCCTTTGTGTGAAGAGTCTCAAATCAGGGTCCCCAAACAGCCTGTTTATAGGTAATTGCTTATAATTTATCTCTTAGATTATTAAGGGTGAAATCTTCCCAGTTAGCTGGTTCCATTAATTTCAGTGACATATCCACAAATTTTCCTGGCTTCAGTCTCTGCTATGCTACAGTGCAGTAATAATGAATGCACGAGGACTTACTAAAGTTGAGAAAGAAAGAAGCATTTCACTGACATGAACAACCATCCGGTTTATCTGGAATAGGGGCAGTTATTCTTTCAGTTTTGCAATCTAGGAAAAAGAGCTTCAAACCATTTACATAGATGCTGCCTTAAGGAAGTCCTTCCTAAATGAGAACAAGAGTCTGGTTGATTTGATTTCCACTATTCTATATCCTTATCTCTTCTTTTATGGCAATACACCTAATTTAAAAAGCTCTGTTGTATTCTATTGTTAAGGATGTCTATGGGGATTCTCAATCATCCAGGTCATGATTATCCCAAAGTTATTGTTGTTTTTTCCCAAAAGGCAATTGGACTTTGTTTTTCCTTGAAGACATTTCACTTCTCATCCAAGAAGCTTCTTCAGTTCTGATTGAATGATGGTGGGTGGAAGGATTTATATTCCTTGCAGTTATCTGGTTGTTAGCACTCCTTCTGAGAATTGTTGAGGCCACTTGGAGATCTATCTGTGTCCTCAGGGTCACCTGAATAGTGCAAATGGGTGTGGAACCTTCTTGGAATTGCTGAAGCCTTTCTTACTGCAAGATCTTTTTTGCATAGAATTCTCATGTCAAACACATAGGTATAATTTCTTCCTTTTCCAAAAATGCTTTGTCCAATTGTCCTCTAAATCTCAGAAAGAGATCTTATTATTATGTTTTACTCTGACTACTGTATCTGTACCTTCATATTTCTTGGTCCAGGGGCTAATAATAATAATAATAATAATAATAATAATAATAATGTTGGAAGGGACCTTGGAGGTCATCGAGTCCAACCCCTTGCTCAGGCAGGAACCCTACACCATTTCAGACAAATGGCTGTCCAGTCTCTTCTTAAAAATTTCCAGTGTTGGAGCATTCACCGCTTCTGGAGGCAGGTTGTTCCATTGGTTAATTGTTCTAACTGTCAGGAAGTTTCTCCTTAGTTCTAAGCAGTCAGTTCTATTTTTCACTAGAGTCCTGTTTAAATGATGCTTGCACATAGAGCTCAAATTGTAAACAGCAGTGAGCAGTCGTCTTCTCTTTGTAAAGTTCTCCTGGTGATGTCTTTGAAAAGTCAGTCATTCATGGATACTGGGCAGTTGTCTGCAGTGAGAATCTTCATGTCTGTGCAAAAGCCTTCATTATCTTCAAATATTCCATCATCATTTATCCCCACTTTAGACAATAATGCTGTAGTTATGGGGACCGGTTTCCTTCTGAAACTACCAGTACCATGAAGAAGGAAGCTGTTCATTATTATTGGTATGTTCAGTTCAAACTAAAATCTCTTATGGAGCTTCTTTGTTGGCCAATGATCTGCAGCCAATAGATTTTTTGTGTATGTGTAAACGAAGGAAATAATATATTATAGCAACCCTTAGAAATTATTCATGCACAGATAAATTGGGTTTTTAATTAAATGGCATGCTCTAATACACTACCCAATAGATACCATAATAGCTGTCTTTAATGCTCCAGTCATATCTGAGTTTTAACGGCAGAGTGCAGGGATAATTATAATCCACAGGATATACAGCCCCATCTGGCTGCTTGTGATACCCACAATACTGCTCTTTGGCAAAATCCTTTTTATTACTCCTGTTTTTGTTATTATTAAACAGAAGAATAAGTAAACAGATGAAGAACAAGCCACATAGAAAGGAGTCAAGATGACGTTGAGAATGGTACATTTTATCTCACTGATTTTCTAGACTTTTTAAGGAGGTGTGTCAGGCATAGATATTGTCTACCTGGATGTTGTCAGAATAATTCACCAAAGGCTGCTGAGCAAACTCAGTTGCCATGAGTTTGGTATGATAGGAGGACATGTACCATCATGAATTGGCAAGACAGGTAGGGCTAAAAAAGGCCCTTCTCACTTGATGAGCTAGTGGAGACCCAGAGTGTTGGTTCCAAAGTGTTTAAACTTAAAACTTCAACATATATACAGTATATACATGTAACAGTCTTGGGTTGGGACTGAGTGATGAGGTGATTGTTATGGTTCTGGCTAATAAAACACTTCAAAGAACTTCCAGGCATTGATTTTCCTAAAAGTCTTTTATTGTTACAAAATGTCGGCACAAGCATAACGGAGGTATGCCAAGATCTAAAT